CATTATCAAATAGATAATATATGAGAATTCAGTACATATTGTATTATACAGAACAAACAAATGTATAAACTACAACCTAGAGGCCAATACACACAATAGCTAGGTTATGATACTAACAGTAAAGGTCACTTAGTGTGTCATAATAATAAAGTTACTGTTGAACACAACATACAATTCATAGACAAACTAATGTCTAGGATTGAAGGGGAGAATAATTATAATAATGATACATCAAACAATAATAAAACTCTTCCTAATAACAATAATAAAGATAAAGAACCTGTCATACAACACTCTACACAAGAGTAAAGACTGGTTAAACAAACTATAAGTTTAAATTACAAAGACAATATAAACCTAACTATGTATCTAACAGAATTTAACAAATTCCTTAACAAAATCTATAACAATCCATTAATGTATTACAATACTATAACATGTATAGACAAAGAACAGTAGATCAAAGCTATGAAGGATGAAATACAGTCACTTCAACAATGAAACACATAGATATATACTATCCCCCCTACAAATACAAATATAATTGGAACAAAATTTGTCTATAAAATCAAAAGACTGGCTAACAGCTAAATAGACAAATACAAAGCACAATTTGTAGTGTAAGGATATGCTTAAAAGAATAGAATAGACTTCTATTCTGACAACTTATTTGCTCCAGTAACAAAACTATCAATAGTACAATTATTGTTATCTTGGGCAGCATCTAAGAACTATGAAATACATTAGATAGATGTAAAATCTGTATATCTTTACAGAGAACTAAATGAGGACAAACTCATTTATGTGAAACCACTGTCAGGCAGGCTACTTACAGATATTAAACCTGAACAGGTATTACACTTAAATAAAGCATTATACAGATTGAAACAAGTAGGTAGACAATGGTACAAGAAGATTACCAAACTACTACTTAAGATCAGATTAGAACAAGCTAATTACAATCACACTGTATTTTACAAGAAACAAAATAATAAAACAATTCTTGTAACATTTATACACATTGACAATATTACAATTATTAGCAAAACTATTACTATAATAACAGTATTTAAACATGCATTAAGACAACACATTGTATTTACTAACAGTAACAAAATACATTGGTTACTTAGTATTGAAATAAGCTAAGATAGACTTTAACAAACAATTAGCTTATAGTAAAAGCATTATATTGAAAGTATAATCAAGTGTTACTACTTCAAAAACAAAAAGGCACTACAAACACCTATTACTCCTAGAATAGATCTATCTAATGATACAAACAATATGTACAATACAAACAAAAGTAATAATAAAACAATACTATACATGAATATGGTAGGATTGTTAAAATATGTTACAGATTGTACACAGTCAGACATATCTTATATTACTAGGCAATTAGTGTGCTACTTACAAAAGCCCTAAATGTATCACTACAAAGTAGTGAAACATTGCTTTACATATTTAAAATATACAACAAATTGCTGGCTTCAACTTGGAAGCACAAATGCCTTAAAACTATAAGGCTATTGTGATACAGACAGACAAATGACAGAAGGACATAAAGTAATAAACAGTTACATCTTTCAATTAGCTAAATCAACTATATCCTGGTCAAGCAAACAGTAAAACCTGGTACTACTATCTGTTTACAAAGCAAAGTTGCAAGTGCTAGCATATACTACTCAAGAAGCCATTTGGCTCAAACGATTTGCTGAAGAAGTACTACAGACTGAATCAGCACCCATTACAATTTATTACAATAATCAAGGTGTAATAAAGACTGTAAAGTCTGACAAAATAACATACAACACTCACACTAAACACCTTGATTTACAAAAAGACTTTGTACAATGTTACATTCAAAACAATTACATTAATGTATGCTATGTTCAATCACAGAACCAATTAGTAGACATCCTTACAAAAGCTCTCCACATCCTACAGATCAAGCATCTAAACAAACTATTAGGTATACAGTCCTAGTTCTTAATTAATGCTTAAAGGGGAGTATTAGATTGTGCTCTAGATTAGAAAATCCCTAATTGCCTTATGTAGAGTTACTACACTTGGAATGTCTCAGACTATCAGACTTTACTATATAGTATATAAGGCAGACACTTGCTTAATGTCTTAATAAGAGAGAGTACTTAGAGTACTCCTACTACACTAGTTAAAAGTAAGTTACAGAATCCTTCACAGGAATTTACTATAAGGACTAGACTAGTAACTGTTTATTGACAACATATGTTTTGTCACATGAATCTGATGTTGGCTAACATTATATTCTTCATTCTTAATGTACTTATAAAGTACTTTTTAAGATGTCAGAGTGAGCTAGTTACTCAATGCCAAAATTGTGTATATGAAGGATTATTTCATTACCTATTTCAGATCCTATAGACCTCTCCATTTGTAATTCTAAGGCAGATATCAAGTTGTAGAGTGTTAATAGTAATAATATGTAAAAAGATCTAAAAGTAAAGGACAGAGTTGCCTGATTTATTTGCTTATATATGGTTAACAGTGTACACCCTGTTACTAATACACTATCATAATAATGTAGTGTTTCAGTACTCTTTCAATTACACAAACATCTCTGTTGAAACATAGTTCTATTATAAAATGATCTCATCTGTAAACCTACTCTGTCTCAGATAGTAATAAGAATGATTCTACTATATTAACTATGGTTGTACTAGTAATTAGTAAGGTTGAGGCAAGATTACAGCTTCTTGAACTTAGGATCCATTATCTATCATACTAAATTTTCCAAATGTAAAACTAGTCCAAATTTTCTGTAAGTTAAGTATGTGTACATTACTAGAATAGGGTGAAGTACACCTAAGATACATACTGTTAGGAATTGTAAAATACAGTAACTAAGTTTGGAAAAGCTTAACTCAAGACTTGGAACCAAGTAGTTTATATACAAAACCCTATTAGTTACAAGTCTAGAGATTAGCCAGATTAACTAGGCTACCTTTGTTGTCCTGCTTAGTAAGAACTCCAGCTCAGCATTATTAACCTCTAATCATTACTAATGAGTGATTAATCTATTAGTAGAGAGAGGGGACAGGAAGGAGTAGGTACTAAGTCAGTTAGAAAAAGGTAACAAAACCTGAGAACAAGGTCTTTATCTCTTTAAGATTAAACACATACTCTAGCACAGTATTACTTAATAACCTCAACCAAAGACAAGTCATTTAGAATGCTTGTATAGAGAGGGGATCTAGAAAGAGTATAGTGTTTAGAGTAAGAAGTATAAAGGAAAAGACTAGGAGAAAACCTAAAGAGATAAAAGGAAAATATTATACTTACTTAGAGAGAAACTATATAGCTAGCTAGAAACACTTTGTACAAAGACAAAGGACTATTAAAGCTAGTAAAGAGTCAGAGCTAATACTCTAAAGCTCTATACTTGAGGAGGACTAGTACTAGTGAAGGAAAGGGAACAGAGAGCTCTGAGGAGAGACTATAGAAAAGTAGTCTCCTTTATACACTTTGCCTATATAGATAGGAAAGTAATAAAGTCATAAATATGAGAACTATATGAGGACAACATGAGGAATACATGAGACAATCTAGAACTTTGGTTGTAAGTTCTATGATTAAATACAGAAGCACAAAGATAAGGCTAGAAGTTAATAAGGATAATTGTCTCCTAAACTAAGTCTATTAAAGAAGACTTAGAGAAAGATCTAGAACATTGGTTGTCAGTTCTAGAGTGTACACAAGACAGTCTAGAACTTTGGTTGTAAGTTTTAGGGGCAGTACAGAAGCACAGCCTTTTATATTACAAGAGTCATAAGGAGTCATTAAAAGTCATAATACTCTACCTTATAAGAAAGTGTATTACAAACTAGTGTACAGGAAGTACAGGTCAAGTCAGACAGAGTTATAGGAATAATAGAGAGCTCTACTTTATGAGAAAAGTATTACACAGCTTACACAGTATAACTAGTTAGGAGGACTCATAAGGAGTCATTAGAAGTATGAGAGGAAGTATAGAAGACATAACAATACAGTAAAGGAGTCATTAGAAGATTAATCTAGAATACAAGAAGACACAAACTAGTGTTAGTAGATTAATAGAAGACACAAACCAGTGTAGCATACAGTCTAAAGGATTAGCCAGCTCCACTTCATAGGAACAACAGTGAAGAGAGTTACTAAAGTCACTAGAGTAACATCACTCTAGCAAAAGGTATATAAGGAGGCCAGTTTGGCCCTCAAAAGATAGTTTTATCAACTTAAGTTACCTAGTACTTAGAAGTACTCTACTACCAACCTACTAGGCTACACTTGCAGCTTAACTAAAGCAGGACTCCTCTACCCTCTCACTCTACAAGTCTACAAGTCTTACCCTCTATACTCTATTCTGTTACTATTCCTAAGGATTAGGACTAGTAAAGTGAGTATATCTAACACATACTAGTAAGACAATTAGAACCACAAATACTTAGCTGTTCATACATAATGATTCATCACTGTAGTAACTCTATTACTCATCTGTTATTACTACATACTATTATAACAAGTAATTGCATTTAACATGACACAGCAACAGATGGGTTGAACAAGAGAGTAATATAATTGGGGAAAAAAAACATGAGTCTTTAGGCATCTGCAACACCTGGTAGGATTGTATCTTTACACACTACTTTTAGCAAAACCTATATTTTAGACCCAAATGAAAGCAATCTATATTGAGAACTGTAGTCTACAATGCAAGCCACAGCATTAGTAGTGATGATACAAGAATCAATGATACAAGAATCTAATTTCCTTTGATTTCTTCTAGTCGTTTGGAACCTGTGTTATTGCCTATAACGGGCCAATTCTATCATCCGGTACTCGGGGTGATCGGTCATATAAGGTTGTAAAGGCACCCAGCGCAGGATTCGATCTGAAGTTTATTCCTTCGACCTGAACTGAGACCGCAGCGTTTGCTTGTGCATGCGCCACTTGCCGAATTTGCAAGAGAAGGTGGTTGCTTAGAACACCGCAAAGGACACCTTGTAGACTATACCCTGCAACTCAGTATTGATATAACAACCATGAAGCGAATGATCGTACTTTATAAGAATGCGGTTCAAAGGGGCCTTTTAAACATGTCAGCATGAAACGCGAGAAGAGGAAGCGCTGTGTTTCACCTGTTTGAAAAGCAACATCACTAAATTCGTAAATGCCATAGCTGTAAATTATACAATTAACTTCGTTAATTAAAACAGAAGAATGGTTACAACTAGGGACTTACAGATGATGCATAAGAAGTACGTCGCCCCTGTTTGTACATACATACTTAGAAGCAATCACAATAGATTTACAGACGACAGACCTCCGGTCAACATTGTCTTCAGAAGAGTACCAAACGATCCTGATTCACAATCTGCGCTTCTTCAGTAAATTGCAATCCGCAAAATCCTGTAAACTTACAGTAGCTGATCGCTTTCACCAGTAGGAGACCAAAAACGACTTATTTGAGGATGGGCGGTAGGGAGAAAGGAAGTGACTTGAGCACAAGACATACAGAAAGCTGACTAAAGACTTTGAGTCTCACCTGTTGCCTCAATAACGAGAACAAGGTATAATAACCAGTCATTTGTATTGAGGTGGGGGAAAACACACCCGGATTGAATCAGATGGAATGGGGAAGCTGGTGCGGCGGGTTGATTGCAACAGCCGTTGAAGAGGAAGTAAAACTTACTGCTGCCAGACAAGGCAAATGTCACGACCATATAGTAGCCACCGCCTGCGCTACACTTGTGAGGTAAATTAGGATTGATGCGTCTTGTATACTAGTAGCTAAACAAACGCACCATTATCACAATTACCAAGATGATTAGGACAATCCTGTTTAGTCCCCAAACTGCGTATACTCGCAATGACAGTGTTACTGCACACTCATTAGTATCATGTTATAGATAGTTAGACTACATAAATTAACTCACTCTCTGCACAGTAACAACACGAGAGAAGTAAGACTGGAATGAATAATTAACCTGATCGAATTAGAATTTGAGGCCATAATACGACTTACCACTAGAAATGACCATAATTGGTCTACAATCCTGACAAAGCGTTATTAAGTTCGAGATTCAGAGTCGTTTGTTAATCATCACAACTAACATCAAGTTTTGTATCGGTAATATTCACTAGAAGACCTTAGGGTGAAATATGACACAACAAATTACTGGGAGATACCTACTGTACGTCGTCAATACTGCTGCGACGATCGGCAGGTAACGATTTACAAAAAAGAGTGCTTTCGGTATTGAAAACCGGGATGGCCATATAAATTCCACCTGTAATCGGAGCTTTGAATGGGTGGGGGAGTGTCTTCAGCGTTCTGAGACCCACCTCTTCTCCAATAGTTATAAGGTACTCGTAAACCTGTTGCAGAGTTTCACCCTAGACGGACAACGGATAGCATTACACGGGCTCACTGCAAGAGCCAGAGCGGCAACTATTGAGAAACCATGCTTAGTCGCACGCTTCGGTGGCCAATTTCACGTCTTTCATTCATGAGCTTACCTGAAAAGTACTGCTTACGATATGTATCAGACATGCTAAAATGTTGAATATCAAAATACGTACACGAAAGATCAATTCATCACGTATCCCAGTTTCTACATAAGACGTGTCCCCCGGCAGCGGTCGAATAGACATTGCGCCGCAAGGTGCTGTCAGTGGGAAGACGTACGAAAAGTAATTTCAGAAAAGACCGCCTTTTCCCGTTTGAGAGTGGGCAGGTTTTTATGATGTTTGAACGACAGAAAACGAAAGTTTCTTCTATATAACACCGATCAAACCGAACGAATCGACTGATTTGCTGCGCATTTGAATTTCTAGTAGATCAAACGTTATGATAATATGTTTTACGATATGTGTTTGTGACCTGTTTGCTTGTATAGCTCAAGCGCCTGGACCTAATAGGCTAATTGTCAGTATGCGATGCAGCCAAGACCTAGGGACCTACTGCGATCATTGTGATGACGATCTTGACATGTTCAATGGCTGGACAAAACCGTGGATCAAATGACACAGTCCGATTTTTCCGTTTGACATAGCTTTATTGATAGACAATGTTGCTGTGTTCTTGGCATTTCTGCTGAGTTTTGCTGTGTTTGGACCGCATCTCAGCGGTCTCACGAACAATGGATGCCAAGCCACCTCCGGACTTCTGAGCAAAGAGAAGCTGTACCACTTAGACCAAGACTAGTCATCAGTGCAAGCATTAACGTCCTCCTTTAGATAGATGTCATTTATCGTCTGCTCTGCCAAAAAATAAAAATCACGTGAGCTTCCGCGAAGATCGGCAATACCTTATATGGTATGCTTATGGCAGATCCCAAGTGTCGAATCGACTCTTCACTTGAGTTCATCAATTATTTCAACTTGTATTGCTCAGTTTTCTCTTCTCACAATATTAAAATGTTATTCCACTGTAGTTCAATATTCCTTACACAATTCATTCATAGCAGCTTGATTTTAAAGCATGCAGTCCTCTGTTCATCTAGACACTGTATAGCCAGCCGTCCTGCAAAATTCCATAAGTAAAACTATAACAATAATACAGTAAAGGTCGAGTTTCTGCAAGTAATGCATAACACCTGTAGAGTTTCTTTGGTGTTATGAATATGATTTTGATCTACCAAATCTTCATTAATTGTAAGAAGTACAAAATGAGAAAACATTCATATATTCTGGCTTTATTCAGCACCAGGTTCAGAAAACGCCCTCAGTATCCTCAGTTTCTTAGTACAGTACTCGTGGAAGTAAACATATTGGATGTTAAAAACTGTTTTGTTGCTATTGAGGGTATCTACTATACAGAATTTGCGCAGAGAACGGCGAAATACGAAAGGAGAAAAGGCGAAAACATATCATACTGCACTTTAAAGAAGATTGATCGAGAGCATTACGGAAATAACGCAAAGAAGTAGTACAATAACAATTACAATTACAGTTTTTTGAAATTCGTGACATCGCCTTGCCTACGCAAACAAACATATCTCAACCAAGAATGTTCCTAATACCTTCCCTCTGCGCAGGCGTCAACCGGTTAGGAAACTCCACTTCCCAACGTACGATCAAATCTCCCTTCCTCGTCACCGTCCCTTCTTTCCGAATCGGCATCCCTTCCCCAGCCACTCGACTCTCCGAACTGGGCTTGATTACACCTGTCGGTAACGGTACACTCAACTTCCGTCCGTCAAGGTGTTCAATCATTCGTATACCGCCGCTGACATTTGTCAACGCATCCACGAGCGGAATCTTCTCCTTCACAATCAAATCTGACCCATCTCGTGAAAATCTGCGATGTGGTTTCTCCTCAACAATGAACACCAAATCCTGCGCATCTCCACTCGGACTCGTCTCGTTCCCCGCACGCGGGAACCTAATCTTCGTCCCACTCTTCCAACCCGGTAACACAGCAATTTCCAAGACTTTCTCTTCTGTTCGGCCGGAGTAGAGTCTTCGACCGACTTTGAGGCGTCTTGTGACGCCTGTGTAGAGGTCTTCTAGGGCGACTTTGAGAGGACGGATGATTTCTGATGGTTCGGGTGCGGGGGATGTTGGTTGGGAGGCTCGGTTTTGGGGTTGGGGGCGACGGGGCATACCGCCCATACCTGGCATACCACCCATGCCGCCCATGCCTCCCATGCTACCCATGCTACCCATGCTACCCATTCCACCTGGCATGCCACCAGGCATACCACCACTGCCCATGAAGAACGTATGTCCATCATCGTCATCGTCATCCTGACCGAACATACTTCCTAAGCCACCTCCACCACCCATTGACTTAAAGAATTGTCTATACAAAAGAACAAAAGAACACCGGTCAGCATCCAATCCTCCACGTCAAACAGAGTAGCAGTAAATCGAACTTACTCGAATATCCGATTTGGATCTGAGGGTGCGAACTTAGTCGACCGAGCCCCAGGTCCACCAGGTCCACCACTAGTAAACGTGAAGGTCGTCCCGCGAGGGAACCCACCAAACGAACCACCCGAAGGGAACCCTCCAGCGCCGAAAGGTCCTCCTGCTGCACCGTCAGGCATAGGTCCAGCACCTTTAAGACCCTCCTCGCCGAACTTGTCGTATATCTCCTTTTTGTTTTTGTCGCTGAGGACCTCAAAGGCTTCTGAGATCTATAAACACAACAGCAGAAAAGCGTTAGTACCGAGACGAATAACAGGAGGGAGGTTAAAGATGTAGGGAAAGCTTACCTCTTTGAACCTCTGAGACGACTCTTCGGAACCGCTGTTTCGATCCGGGTGCCATTTGAGAGCAGCCTTGCGGTAGGCTTTCTTTATTTCTACGTCTGAGGCTTCCCTTGGGACTTCAAGGATTTTGTAGTAGTCTTTGCCCATAGCGGGGTACTAAGTTGTAGATAAGTAGTAGGGGTCTATGGTGAAAGCAGTAGTAGTAGAGTAGAGTCGCGGCGAAAGGGAGGAGAGAGCGTATTTGTATGAGGGAAAGTACGGGAGCGGCGGAGCTCTATAGATTGCAGTCGATGGCTGCCGAAACAAGGCGAATAGTCCAGAATCACCTAGACGTCATTTCACGTGATGCGTATTTACCATCTTTGGGAATAGAGGCCAAAGATAATTACTTTATTTAGACGTACTTTGCTTTGTTGAAGTTGAAATATCTCTGCATCATTTACATGACTTCATAATATAATAGAACAAACGGATCAACTCTCCTTCGCACGCGCCTCAGCCATCTCACCCAACGTCTTGAAACGAAAATCATACGTCGCTTGCGAATCAGTCCCAATCGTTGCATCGTTCCTCTCAATCCACGCAGAGCATATACCCAACGCATTCGCAGGCTCGTGGTCATGGAATAGGCTATTCGCCGTGACTAGCACCTTCTCCTTCTTCACGCCTAACTTCTCCTCGATGGTCTTCAGTGCGGCTTCGAAGTTCGCTGGATCGGGCTTGTATGCACCCAAGTCTTGCGCGGTGAGGACGATATCGAATGTCCCGCCGCCCGATTCGAGCGTCGGACGCGTGAAGGTGTTGAATGAATGATTGTCAACGTTTGAGAGTACGACAAGCTTGTAGTATTTCTTAAGCAAGGCAAGCGCAGCGACTGTGTCCGGGAAGATAGGCCAGAGCTCAATGGACCGACCAAACGCGGTGTCCTCTTCGGAGGTGGAAGAAGTGCCGAGACGAGTTGCAAAGGCCTTGTGTACAGCGGCTAGTAGCTCGTTATACAGCATGTCTGGGTGTTGCACCTGGAGGTCCTTCTCCACAGCTGCGAACGCAAGGAGAGCATCTTTCTTGGAGAACGGCGAGTTTGCACGTCGGAGGACGGGTTGGAGCGCAACGTATATGCCCGTCTCCCAGTCCTAAGCGAATATTTATATATTAGTAGTCATAGAAAGGAGGGTACATACAACTAGAGTGCCATAGACGTCGAAGATCAGTGCTTCGAATTGATTAAGCGTTTTTGGCTGCATTTGCTACACTCGAGCGTTTTTTCTGCATGAGACAATTAGATATTTACGACGCCGTAATAGTAATACATGAGTTCTTACGAACTTTTTGATCTTTCACGGATGGCAGTTGATGCACAAGGAACGCTCAGGCGTGTATGTATGTATGTATGCGTCATAACCGAAGACATTGACTCGGAGTATATTTATCCACGAATATCCCCTATCTTATCTGCTTCTCATCCCGTGACTTCCGACAACTCCTCCAGCCAGCCAAGGTCCAACTCGCTCTTCAGTACATTCAGATTCATTCACCTCATCCTCCTACGCCTATCTAAAAGGAAGAAAAAAATGACCACAGAACATCCAGAAGACACAGCGTCCAAACCAGAAGGCCTCTTGACACGTTCCTGGCATGCCATCCTTTCCCCTTTCTCGTCCGCTGCTCTCCGTCAACTCCCCAACACTTCCCAGCGTAAACGCGATCGCGAGACCCGAACGGATAGGATACCAGAGGGCGAGGGAGACGTCGTCGTCCATGACTTTAACAACAACAACAACAATGCGGATACCAGAGGGAACGTTGAATATGGTGCAGTAAGTGCCAACGAAGACGGTACGGATGGTGGGAATCGTGCAGGTGCAGGGCCTGCAAGTGCCGTGCCGCTTTCTGTGCGCGTACCGAAGAAGATACCAACGCCGATTAAGGTGGAGGGTAAAGTCTGGTTTGCTAACGAGCGTAGTACGTCTTGTTTTCTATGCACTTGTACTTTACTCTATTTCTTATCCAATTTTTACGATTGGGCATACAGCATGGATAGCATACGTGAACGTCGGCGTCCTCGTCGGCACACTCGCACTCGCACTTTTTAACGCCTCAGAAGATGCCATCGCGCGTAACTTTGCGTACATCTACGCACTCATCAGTGTTGGCGTACTCGTGAGTTCTCTCCCTCTTTCTTCAACAGAGACCATTTGTTGAAGTCTGGAAATTGAAAAGGTATATGGATGGGTCGTTTACCAGAAACGTATAACGATGATCCGGAAACGGGATCCAGGGCATTTCGGTTTGTATTTTCCTCTACTCTTTCTTCGTAGATGGTTTCTTGAGCGAATTTCCTGAACTTCCTATACTTGTTCTCCGAAAATAGACCAGATTGCCGGACCCGTCATCATAGCGACCTTCCTCTTCTTCGCTGTCCTGGCCAACTTCATCATTCGACGTAAGTCCGCCCTTCCCTCTTTCTTCTCCCGTTCCCCTTGCCCATATCTCCCATATCTCTCGTTAATCATTAAATCAATCTAATCGTTCTCCCTCTTTGGCTTGCCGGATTGCCCGTCGTGCGTTTTCCATACGTGACGATGATTCTGATGTCAAACATAATAACATACCAGTCCGAGAAGTGTAAGCCCAATATACCTTTTTGCTTTATCCGTTTTAGTATACTGAGATCAGCTCGCATTTTCTTCTGAACCCATAGACGAAGACGAGGCGCCCCACTTCCGAGGGATTAATGAGACGACACGATGAACACGCATTGTGTAACCAATTTGTCTCCTTTTTTTTGTTTAATTACCTATTCTTGCTTGTGTTCCCTGTTTTCTTAGCTTTACATCTTTATGCATCCGGATTTAGTTTTGCCATATATCATATTATATGCCACCAATGCCAGCATTCACGTTTTCCCTTATTTTCTCTGTTCCCCCACTAACAAACACCATTTCAACTTACATTTTTTTCTCATTTAACTCAAAAACATCGTTATCACAGTTTGTACACGGGTTTGTTTTCATGTCTTTACGAAGTCAGGAAAGAAATGCAACATTCAATTCTGTACTGTACACAAGGAATAAGGCAACAAACAGTTTCTTTTACTTGACCAAAAAGAAATAATGGTAATATAAGAGAAAGTTTGTTTCGAACTTGAACTGAATAGTTTTCAGTTATATAAATCAGTACCACGTTTTGATCCAGTATCGCTGTCAGTACTCAGACTACATACTAATAGTTAGTAGTCTCCTCACCGCACCGAAACAAACCCGTGTCACATAATCCACTTTACTAGTATTCAATTTGGTTGACATTATTAATATTATCGAACAAAAAACCAACAAAGGCAAAGAACAAGAAAAAAGAAAGAGAAAGAGGAGGTATATGCCATATCATTTCATATCATTTCATTCATTCCGTTCATCCATCATCGTATCGTAAAACTAAGTAAAGAGAAAGAAAAAAAGAAAAGAACAAGCTGATAAGTGGTAGAAGTGATAGAAAGGCATCAAAAAAAAAAAAAAAAAAAAGAGACGCCAAAGAGGAAGAGGAGGTTCTACAAGCTTGAAAAAAACTCATTTCTCTACTCAAAACCAATTTCGCAGTCTTTCATTCTTATTCTTATTCTTATTCTTCATCAGGTATCTCCCCAAGCGACAAACTCTTCATGGGAGGTTTGACAGCTAACATGTCTAACACGTTGTCGAATTCCGTTTCCGGCACCACCGTTCCCGTTCCTCCAATTCCTCCGTTAAGGGTATGTTTGTGAGTGAGTGAGGTAGGTGTGGGTGTAGCAGCACCGCCGTTCGCGAACGCATCCTCGGTATTATTATTGTTGACCTCGAGTTCGACTTCGGTCTCGGGTTGGGAGGAGGTGGTGGGAACGGATATTTCGACTGCAGGTGTGTTTTCTGGCTCTGACTCTGCATGAGCTGGTGATTCTGTTCCTGCTTCCGCTTCTGCTACTGAGCCTTGCTTCGGTTCTTCAACCTCTGACTCAACGTGCTCATGTTCCTCAGCACCCGCACCCTCTTCAATAACGGAAGAAACCCCAGTCTCAACCTCTTCATTCACCACTGCATCAAACGACACGCCCTCCACTTCCCCCTCTTCCTCTCGGGGTTTCAAAGAGACGATCCGCGCACTATCCAACAACTCCAACTTCTTCTCATTGTCCTCGTCATCAGACGCAAACGCGTCGTCGTAGCTCTCGATATCGGAGGGTATCTCTCGTTCTCTTTCTAAGCGTTTCTTTTCGTCTTCGTCTTCCTCGGTTTCGTGTTCTGACTGCGATTGTGATTGTGAGAGGTGAGACGGTGTCCCTTCCGATAAGACATTCTCGTTCTCGGAAGTCGTAGAGATAGAATGAACAGAATGATCGAGTGAAATCGACTCGTCTCCGCTCGTCACCGCAGCTACAGCCTTCCCCAAATCCCCAGCAGTAGTTTCAGCTACGGCGCTCTTCCCTCTTTTCACTCCCTCCTCCTTTCCTTTCTTCTCCCTCTCCGTCTTCATCCTCGCAGGCGCCAACCCAACACGAGGCTTCACACCCCCACTCCCACCTCTCGTCGTCGCACCAGCAGCAGTCGTAGGTGCACCACCCCTCTTCACAGCAGTACTCGCACGCGGCGGACTAACAGGCGTCTCCCTAACCTTCGACTTACTCGCCGCAGTAGGCTTCATCAACCTCTCCAACGAACCACTCGGTACACTCGCCTTCTGTACCGGTACTGGTGGGTGTGCATCTGCATTGCGGGCTTTGGCGAGTGAGGCTTTTGTTGGGGCGTATAGACCTGATGAAGGTGTTTTTGGTCTTGTTGGGTTGTGAGGTGGAGGTGGAGGTGGGTGAGCGGTGGGAGTCTTTGCGCGAGAAGCGGGGGATGCTGTTGGTGTCTTTGCTCGAGTAGATTTAGAGAGAGAGCCTGAGGTGGAGGCGCGAGGCGCTGTAGGCGTTTTTGCGCGTGCAGAGGTAGTTGAGGTAGGCGGGCTCTTTGCACCAAGCCGTAAAGCACCACCAGAACCTGTTGAAGTTCCCGTCCGTTGAGCAGAAAGCGGCTTCGCAGAAGGTGTTGAAGAAGGTTTGTTTGGTGTTGAAGTTGGTGACTTGACAGTAGAAGGTCTGCCAGCTACACTACTTCGCGCCGTAGTAGTACGCGAAGCCGAGTTATTTGGAGATGTAGTATTAGTACTCGCAGGCGTACTCTTGCTCGTCGTTATCTTGCCTGTAGCCGTAGCGCGTGCAGGCGTCGTCTGCACGTCCTTCGCCTTGTTAGACTCCACCTCAACTACCGAGTTGTCTTGCGTATTTGAGTTCGACGTAGCCTCCGGAGCAGACTTTGCGATACTCTCCACCGACGCAGATAACGACGACGGTACCTCATCCTGCTGCTTCTCCGATGCCGCTGACGATGGTGGTGGTGGTGGGGACCCTACGCTAGAAGCACCAATACCTCCCGTACTAACCAGCCCACTCCTCTCCAGCTTGCTCACAGCAGCAGCTGTGAACTCGCTCTCCTTCTCCTTGTCTTTATCACCAGTAGTCGTAGTCCCAGTCGTAGTCGTAGGAAAAGGTGACTTAGGCGGCCACTCCCTCTTCTCCTTCACCTCAATCTGCGCAGCATCACCCGTATTGGTGCTAATCGCACTTGTCGAGCGGGAAGGTGATGGTGAGCCCGTCGGGGAGGCAGACGCACCGACAGAGGATTGACGTTTGTTAGCGCGTTGTTCGAATCGCCCGATGAGGTTGGCAACGCTTGGACGGGGACGTTCGTCTGGGAGGCCTCTGATAGACATCGTCGTCCGTCACTCCACGTCTACGAATGCTCTCTTCGAAGAAGAGTGAGAGAAAGAGAGAGAAGAAACGTAAGGCTGTGAGGAAGGGAGTGTGAGAGATGGTTGTCAGCAGGAGAGTAGTTGCTAACTACAACCTACTAACCAGATCTATTTGTGTGTAATTATGTGAGTGAGTAAAGTGTGCAATATTTCCTGAAATAAGAATAAGACCATCAAACAAAATAATTGCACGACGCCAACGCGACTGACTTCGGCACATCCCGTCATCCCATGTCCTCCTCAAAAACAAACATCATCCAGCTGCCCTCGGGTACAAAACTCGAATACATCTACTCATCTCCTCCACCTCCACCTCCAACTCCAAATACAAATACAAATACGGATGAAAATGCAAAGGAAGTCACACGAACGAACAAACTCGCAATCCTCCTCCACCCCTGGTCCTGGCTAGGCGGTACCATGCACGACCCGTACGTCTCTTCATCCCCCCACTCAAACAAACGAAAAATTATCTCCATTCAACTAAACTAACTACCGAAATCAACTCCATCGAGTGTCCTCCAGCTCCTCCTAACTCCCTTCCTCCAATCCCACAACTTCCACACTCTCGCATACAACAGCCGAAGCGTCCGCCATTCATCCGGCTTCGCTTCCCTAACCGGTTCTTCTGAAATCCGGGACTTGCATGAATTCGTTCAGTGGGCTGTGAATGAATGTGTAGCTGATGTTGGGTGTTTGTTACTCGTCGTACGTCTCCCTTTCCTCTTCTCTTCTCTTCAAGCCCAAAATTCAAATACAAGTTAATTTGATGTAATATTAATATTTGTTTGATGTAGGGCTACTCATACGGAAGCCTTATAACCTCAAATCACCCCCCTCTAGACCACCACCCTCCTTCTCTTCCTTCCTCTGCACCAAATTCAATTAAAACACACCACATCCTCCTCTCCTACCCCCTCTCCCCCCTCCCCTACCTCACACTCTTCCACAGCAAAACCTACACCTCCGCTCTCCACTCTCTCGTCCGTTCCCCCTCCTCCCGCGTCCTCGTTGTCTATGGAGACGCTGACGAGTTCACTAGTGCTGCTAAGTATGGAGTTTGGGCGGGGGAGTTGGTTAAGTTAGGGAAGGAGAAGGTAAATTCGCAGGATGTGAGTGTTGGAGGGGAGGAGGAAGGTGGAGAGGACACTGAAAGAGTGAAGGTAGCCTGTATTCCAGGCGGTTCGCATTTCTGGGCTGCTCAGAGTCGGAGCAAGGCACAAGAGATGCTCGACGCTATCGAACAATGGTTAAACGAGCAACAGTTATAGCATAGCTCGTTCAGTCTCGAATAAAGACATAACATGACATTCACACATCTTTTTTATTTGCTTGAAATACACTTGACATTTGTCATTCGTATATGTAGTGTTACAAACATATTGGTACTATATACAAAAAAAGGCTTGAACTTATACAATTACAAAAGTAAGAACAGTTCGTTAGGTGTACAGTTCGTCAGATGGTCGCTCAAGCAGACAACTTCGTCTTGAGCGCAGTAATCGATGGTGAGAAAAAGTACGCCCCTCCCTTCGACACAACAAACTCGATCGGCAACGTTGTGTTCGCAGACTGGTTGTCAATCTGCAAACCAGCAGTTTCGCGAGCTTGACCGTTCTTCTGGCCGACTGAAAACAGTCACGTCATGCACGTCAGTACGCGACTATCGGAAGAAAAGGGAGAATGAAGACGTACTGATCGGGTCAAACCCAGGCGTGACGGGCTTCTGTGGTGGGAAACCAGTGGCGTTCGCCCATGCTAAAGGACGACGAATCGATCGGTTAACGTATGCAACCATTGAAATGGGTTGTATCACTTACATTCCTGAACGAATTCAAAGCCGTTCGCGAGGTTGCTCTGGTAGCAAACGAAAGCAAGTCCACGGTCGACCTTCGTCTTGTTCGAGTGTGCCTCCTCAGGCGTCACTTCAGGTCCATAGGTAATGCTCTGGCGGACGATCATGTGAGGCTTCAATGCACCATCACCGAACGGCTGGATAAGACTATACAGTGGCCATAACATGAGCACCTAACATAACTCATGACAGAAGATAAATGACAAACAACTCACTCATTGCGAGGGTTCGTCTTCCGGATGTGCGCAGCAAACGGACACTTGGTCTGGTCCGAGAAGCTGTCCTTGAAATCAAAGTTATTGTTCCTCTGCTTGTCCTCAGCGAGCTTCGGGTCATCCGCAGTCGGCGCAAGTTCGATGGGCGCGCCGCTCTTCCAACGACCGAACAACCTAGCACCGAGCAACTCGCTTCCCTTGTCACGCGGAAGACCTGGCACATTGACAGGGTTGTCCGTGAGGAACTTGTTGAACTCCGGTACAAGCTGCTGCAGTTGACGATATCTACAGATTGATCGTCTCAGTATTGATCAAGATTCCAGGGACCGAAACGCTGTATTAAATTAGACTCACACAAGGAAAGATCCGTTCTTTGCCCACGCAGGTCGGTTCTGGACCGTATCGCCATTGGTACCACAAACAAGGACGCCAGGGTCTACGACGATCTGACCAGGGAGGTGACCAGTCAATGCATCAATAGCAGGGAAGGAGATCCCGTCTTTGAAACCCTATACGGTGAATACGCCCCTGTCAGTATGCAAAAATAAATGAACTTCTAACGACACTAACGAAGTGTTCGTGACCCTTCTCCTTGTTAGGTCGGACATGTCCGTTGACCTTGAAGACTTCTTTGATAGATTTGCCGAAGGTATGTTCAACCTTGTTAACGCCCTCGTCGACGGAGATCTTGGAGTCACCAGCGACCTGTGCGAAGAATAAAAGTTCAACTCAATGAATGGCTTGCAAGTATCCAACAAAGATTACGTACCAAAACAACACCATCGATTTCATTCTTGAACGCATCGATCCATTCGGGAACGAATGATCCGTTTTCGGTCTTGCCAGTATCACCAAGGTTCTGCGCATGCGCTAATTGACCTTGGTTGAACGCATCATCGCCGAGAGACTCGGTGATGCCGAGCTATAATCCAGCGCACATAGCATTAGTCAGTAACACGCCCTTTAACGCCGATGTAAAGGCACAATACCTTCTTTAAGCCAGCAACGGAGAACGCAATGTTGATGGCAGCAACCTTGATCAAGTCGGTCTTGCCCTGCTGCTTGTGGTTGGTAATGTCGGTGCGGATCTTCTTGACTTGTGCGGTCGTAGTGATGGCTGGGATGAGCTCCTTGAGATCCTTCTTGAAAGCAGCCGCATCCTGGATGTTGAAGAAGATGAAGTCCTCAGCACGCTTCGGGATACCAAGACTGTAAGACAAAAACAATGAGCGACAGCATGATAATTGATTCGTCCGGCATAACACGCACACGACGTCGGCTGTAGCAATGACACGTTAGTGGAATGCCACAAAGATATCAAATGTTCACCGCTCACCTTGAAGGTCATTAAGATCCTGAGGAGTCGGCCAAGTGGGAGTAGCCATGTTGATGAGCGTCAGTTAGTGATAAGAAATGAGACTTTGGTTATTCGTGGTCGAAAAGCTATTAGACTCGGGCGTCTTACGCTCTTGGAGTTGAATACCAGGCTCTTTTTATACCCTTCAAACGGGCGCTGCAGGCACAGCAAGATGACTGCGGCTCACGAGATCCATAGCATCAGTTGTATCAGGAGAGAACCTCGTTGAATCATGCTCCCAAATAGGTCCTCTTCTGTCTTTCCGGAGTCACCATAGTTGCGCGGGCGATGTCCTTCTCCGAAGTATCGCAGAACACTTCGTCAAGGATACGAAATGTCACAGCTCACGCACAATGAGGCCATAAATGCGAGCTCTCTAAGTGTCGATAGTCCTACTAAAGGTCGGCGATCCGACATCAGCGAGATGCTCGGTCATTCACTCAATAGCCAACCAGTCAGATGCGTTGGATTTTGAACGACTATCAAACATTGCCCCGCATCGATCAATCCAGGCTAGAAGGCCAAGAACGAAGAGAGCTTTGGCACGTAAAGTAGCAGGCACAGGGTGGTGATTTTTAAATTCAGCGCTGAATGTCAGGTCCGATGCTTCCGCCCGCTATGGATAGAGAGACTAGGCCTCCTGTAGAGCATTATACCAAAGCCACATCCCCGCATTGGCTACGGACAGCAGATGTGGGATCGGGATGTTTACTCGACTTGCCAAATCCTGAATCCCGAACCGCCAGAGGATCAAGTAATCATTCTGATGATCACAAGAAAGTACCGACTGAGTCGACGCCGATATTACCGGTTATGCCTGAAAGACTCCGGTTTAATGCTTCTAGCCAAGCTCCGCGTCATCCCCTTGAATAATGAGCGGCGGATGACCTGAAACAGGAGTATTCACCACTTGTGAACACGGGATCGATCCCAGACGGTAGTCGGGTTTGGCAATTTATCACAACTCGGAAATACATCAGATTGTGCGCCATAGAATAAATACGCTCGTTCAGCAGGCCTCTATTTCCAGAGGACCAGCCTTCGATCTGTAAGAACTTCCTTCGATCTACAGTTGACGTGTGGCGCCGATAGAGGCGGATGAGGAGACAGTTTGGCTTGAGATTTACTTCCGTAAAATTATCTTTGCCATATGATGACTCCGCGGGACAAGCATTATCAGGGCAAATACATTGCTGGATACGTACTTGAAGAGGAGTAAAATCACCATTAATGCAAATGGAAGCCCCATTCGAATGACGTTAAACTGTCAAATCGTGCATTATGATACATAAATCGCGTGAGAATATGCAGTGCCGGTGGTGTAGGTAACGAAACGAGCATAGCACGAGTGCGTCGTGGCGAGTCACTGTCTAGAAGGACGAGTGTGATGAGGGTGGATATCGGCGCCTCAGTAAGCCCGTTTGAGGAACAATTATCCAGGGTCCAAACTCGTCCATGAGGCACTGTCTCATCAAGATTGTACAAACATTAGAATCAGTTGACTAAACGGAGCGAAGTACGACCCACATAAATGTATGTAACCAAATCGCAGGTACTCTCAAATTCGGCGTACACAACGGTCTGACGAAGCCGATATCGCTACATTCAAGTCAACCATCGTCGTCTCCGAAGGATAACAATGCGCCAGATTTCGTCTTCTTCGCCTTTGAACCTTGCTTCACTTTCTTGTGAGTCTTCTGTTTTTCCAAAACGTCGTCCGGACCATCACCAATGACCTTGCGCTTCTTTGCATAGCTTTTCGCATTCGAAGCTCCGGTTGATGAAAACGATAAAGATGACTTTGCATTAGATTCTTTACCGCATTGTTTCTGCTTGTCCGCAGACGTGCCACTAGTCTTTTCTAGTTCATCCTCGTCTTTCCTGTCTGTTGAACCATCCGGAAGAGGTGCTAGTCCTTGGGCTGCGAAAGTAGAATGGGTGAGCGGATGGGACGACGTTGTCGCCTCTTCCGCCTTCTGTGACACAAAGAATTACACATACCCTTTCTTCGCTCATTCTCCGCTTCACGAGCAGTCAAATGCTTGCCTTCCCGCAAAACGACCACCTGGGGTTTCTCATCATCGTCTTCTTCATCTGCACTGCCGGGTTCATCGGCTGGACGCTCTGGGGGTGTCGGTCTCCGAGGAATGGGTGGTCGCCCCGAAGCAGCTTGCCACTCGTCAAAGTCTTCATCTTCGTCATTAGACACACCAGCTACTTTGTTCTTTAGCCGCTGTAAGAAGGCAGGGGTGTCCTGATTGAACGTCAGACGCGACGAGAGTTGGTAACGACTGGGTTCCTTTGGTGGCATCGTGAGGGATGAGTGCAAGTGGCATGCGCCGAGTCGTATCTAATCCTCAGGCGTATATTCATGCCATTTCAGTATTTGTGTGAACATGTATGATGTGGTAATCTCAGGATGATACGGTGGTGTTACATTCTCAAACTGTGTCCGATATTATTGGAACCTTTGAGTGCTTTCTGCCTAATCACCGCAATACTTTATTACACTAGTTACGATAAATAAAAAACTGTACGAGAAAGTCAGACCCTGTAAAATACAGGACAATCAGTATGAAGTGGCAAATAAAATATGAGAAGGCAACATGGCGGAGCGGATCAGACATCCAAGGAAGATGATGGCCCTCATCGCGCCGACCGCCCACCAACATGTCATCGCACCCCGGAGGGTGGCCCACCTCAGCTGACTGTTTTGGGTTCGCAGTAGCACGAGGGAGGAAAACAACATGCGGTCTGGGGGAGTACTCCAAAAGAGGGCGCTAGAGAGGAAACTGCGAATAAACGGTTCGTTTTTCATCCTGCAAAGTTGTGTAGGAAGTGAGAACAAGGAAAATTACACTCACACGATCGGAAAATGGTGGAAACTTCGAAGTCTAAGAGAAAGATTCGTCAGCTGGTTTCACAGATGAAAATGCACTTTGGCAGGAGAATCAGACGAAATGGCACTGGCAAGTGCACTGTGCGCCCCGTAGGACGCGCGATCGTTGCGAACGAACACACTCTATTCCTCGGCATGGTCGTGTAGGACGGGGAAGAGAATAAAGTCATCATGAAGAGAGACTACGGGAACTGCCACTCACCACCATGAAAGTTCAGGACGAAGAGCGATTAAGCAAAGGGGCAAATTTTTATCGTCTTCTAAGAGCACGTGATGCGTGAGAGCGAGTGACTAATTTCAAGATGGGAGCCATGCCACACAACTCTGCCGCGGCAGTTTGAAGGTCTACCACCACCATGTCGGAGACGCTCGTCCAGCGACCAACTCCTGTCCACAACATTATGCCGGGAGAAGTCATCAACGTGGATGATCTCGCATATCCAACCGGTCGCACTGTCGATGATGATGACGTTCAGTTGATATCGCATGCTCCTGCACGGCGCTCTCAGGAGCCAATTGTGATCGAGGACAGTGACGACGACGTCGAAATTGTTGCAGGGCCCTCTCATCCGCAGCCTCACAATGCACGTTCTGAGAGACCTGAACGTGAGTCATTCCCGTCTCTTACTGGGAAGTAAGCTAACATACAGAATTTGCAATAGCAATTCGTCGCCGTGTGCTCTTCTCACCTTCTCCTCCACCGCAGGATTTAAATATTCCACCAGTGCCTCCTTTGCCACCCAATATTCGTTTCGCTAGACCGGCTCGCTGGCGAGGCCCTCCTGACTTTGCTGGTGTGATTCGGCCGTTCGATCAACCCTTCGCATTTGAAGAAGGCTTGCGAGCCCCGCCCCGATTACCTCCCATACGTAATTTGCCGCAACAGGTGGAACCCGTTGCAGGCGGCGCAAATGCTGCGCGTCGTCCTAACATGGGTTTAGGAGGTGCTTTATTTGCTTATAATCGCCGCAATCGATTTGAACCTGCTTATCCTCCAGCCCCACCGGCTCGAGCTGAAGAAAATGTTGCGGGTTGGCGCAATATTTTCAGTAATTTCGGTGTAGGAGCCTATCGCATGCTCTTTCAACGAGCCGCCGATACTCCTGATCCGCCTGATGACTTCGGCAATGAGGAGGCAGCTATTCTAGCAGCACTTGCTTATGAAGCCGAAGACCTTTACCCACGAGCTAGGTCCCGGCAGTTTCGACCAGTCCCTAGACCCGCACCTGCTCGGGCCAACAAGGAAGAGCCCAGCTACAAATCAGAGTTTACACATCCTACCAAACCTGAATCAGGATTCTCTAACGATTTCTCGTCACAGGAGACGATCACAATCACCGATGGTCCAGGCCCCAGCTCTGTTTCCGCATCTGAAACGATTGTGTGTGCTCACTGCCTTGACCCGCTCGTCATAAATGTTATGGGCTCCGAGGAACAAGTGCGCAAACGCAAGCTTTTTGCACTTCGCTGTGGCCACATGTTTGATGGGAAGTGCATTAACGCGCTTATGAAACCACAGCCTGTCCCAGTCCCAGACGTGGGCCAAGGTACCGAAGCAGACGATTCAGCAACGGACAAAGGCAAAAGGAAGGAGACTGGTACATGGGACGGGGGATCAGAATGGTCTCAGCTGGGAACAGGCAGTAACGGTTGGCCTCCGAAGCACAATACCAAGGGAAAACAGCGAGCTGCCGATCCTGATGTCGAGACGTCACATGCATTAACTGTACCCACGAAGCGAAAGGGAACTCCACTCGAGTCTTCTTCGTCCACGTCAACAACATACACTCGCTCACGTCTGAGGCCACGAACTGGAGGCAGCAATGCCCTTGCCGCCGGACCGGCTGTTGCTAGTCCACTACATATCGTATCTTCCGCGAATGACATGGCTGAGGGTTCCCAGTCAGTTCCTGATGCATCCGAATCCAACACTCGCGGTCGCTCTCGCCGTGGCCGTCGTCGCGGGGGTGCGTCTGGGAAGGGAAAGGGTCGAGGAAAGGGGAAGGGTAAAGCTGCTGCTGCTCCAGTCATCGAGGCTGAATATTTGTGGACCTGTCCCGTCCAAGGATGCGGACGTGAGCACAAGAGCGTGCTTATTGCTGGTGAATGGCGTATGGATGAGGAACGCGGCGCCGTTGCATTATACGTCTAAGCATTGTTTTTTTGTATTGGTGTGTCATACTTTCGCATTTTCTAGGCCATTTTCTAACGATCACGTACATCAGTTTATCGGATTCACGTTATACAACCATCCGGCATCGCTTATCTATCAATCAACACCCACCATCCACTGTATCCTCAGGCATGTTTTGTTATCGCTACTGCTAAATATTTTCTGTTTGTCTCTCGCAGTCATCAATCCTCCTACCCACCCGTTTGCTGCTCTGGGCATGTACATAATAAAGATGTCTTGTCTCACCGTTTATCGGTCCGCGACGACCTCGCACCTCGCGCAGGTCGCCGAGATTTGGTGTGCCTCAATGCCGTGCGTCATTACGGTTTCAATTCATGAATTTCGGACTCGTCTGTATCAAGCTTCCTCAATTCAATCGGTCGGCTGGAATGAACCGGAACGGTGCCTCTTTCCAGATTTAGTCAACTCACTAAGGCTCATTGCAAGGTTCTGATCACAAATAATTTCTATGCTAAAGGTCTCTCAAGATACTATCATGATAGCACAGCAAGGATCAAAATAACGCGTAAATAACAGAAAAACACGATCTCGTGACCTGATTACTAACGTGTTTCCAAATTGTCTTACTTTTGAAATCATGAAATGTCTAAAACGCTTCTGTCATGTGACTTTATTGTATCAGGTTTTATACGCTCGGAGTCAAGTATTAGTGTCCTGTCTGCTGTTCTCTGTCAACAAGCATGGACGTTGCTCCTAGTGCCCAAAATAATGTGCTCCAAACCACTGGCAGAGCCTTGGACAATGTAGGTTTTAACAAGTTTTTAACAAGCATAGCAGGAGTGCCCCAAGTACTCTCTCTTATTGAGACATTGAGCAAGTATCTACCTTATATACTATATAGTGAAGTCTAATAATCCAAGACATTCCAAGTGTAGTAATTCTACATAAGGCAATTGGGGATTTCCTAATCCAGAGCACAATCTAATACTCCCCTTCAAGCATTAATTAAGAACTAAGACTGTATGCCTAATAGTTTGTTTAGATGCTTGATCTGTGGGACGTGGAGAGCCTTTGTAAGGATGTCTGCTAATTGGTTCTGTGATTGAACATAGTATACATTGATGTATTTGTTTTGAATGTAACATTGTACAAAGTCTTTTCATAAATCAAGATGTTTAGTACAAGCATTGTACATTATTTCATCAGACTTTACAGTCTTTATTACACCTTGATTATTGTAATAAATCATAATAGGTGCCAATTCAGTCTACAGTACTTCTTCAGCAAATTGTTTGAGCCAAATAGCTTCTTGAGTAGTATATGCTAGCACTTGCAACTCTGCTTCATAAACAGATAGTGGTACCAGGTTTTACTGTTTGCTTGACCAAGATATGGTTGATTTAGCTAATTGAAAGATGTAGCTGTTTATTACTTTATGTCCTTCTGTCATTTGTCTGTCTGCATCATAATAGCCTCATAGTTTTAAGGCATTTGTGCTTCCAAGTTGAAGCCAACAATTTGTTGTATATTTTAAATACACAAAGCAATGTTTCACTACTTTGTAGTGATACATTTAGGGCTTTTGTAAGTAGTGTACTAATTGCCCAGTAATATAGGATATGTCTGGCTGTGTACAGTCTGTAACATATCTTAACAATCCTACCATATTCATGTATAGCATTGTTTCATTATTACTTTTGTTTGTATTGTACATATTGTTTGTATTGTTAGATAGATCTATTCCAGGAGTAATAGGTGTTTGTAGTGCCTTTTCGTTTTCAAAGTGGTAACACTTGATTATACTTTCAATATAATGCTTTTACTGTAAGCTAATTGTTTGTTGTAGTCTATCTTGGCTTATTTCAATACTAAGTAACTAATGTATTTTGTTACTGTCAGTAAATGTAATGTGTTGTCTTAATGCATGTTTAAATACTGTTATTATAGTGATAGTTTTGCCAATAATTGTAATATTGTCAACATACATAAATGTTACAAGAATTGTTTTATTATTTTGTTTCTTGTAAAATACAGTGTGATTGTAATTAGCTTGTTCTAATCTGATCTTAAGTAGTAGTTTGGTAATCTTCTTGTACCATTGTCTACCTGCTTGTTTCAATCTGTATAATGCTTTATTTAAGTGTAACACCTGTCCAGGTTTAATATCTGTAAGTAGCCTGCCTGGCAGCAGTTTCACATAGATGAGTTTGTCCTCATTTAATTCTCTGTAAAGATATGTGGATTTTACATCTATCTGATGTATTTCATAGTTCTTAAATGCTGCTCAAGATAACAATAATTGTACTGTTGATAGTTTTGTTACTGGAGCAAATAAGTCATCAGAATAGAAGTCTATTCCATTCTTTTGAGCATATCCTTACACTACAAATTGTACTTT